AGAGGATGATGTATTTTGTTCACAAAGCACTTGTGCTTCACTTATTGAGGAAGAAGGAAAACAGTTCTTTCAATTCGTAGAATAATTTCTTTCTATATTTAAAATAAGGTTGGTTTGTTTGTTTTCTTAACAATTAGTTGCTAACTAGCTGCTTGAGTGGAAGCACAAAGACCTAACTCTTGCATTAACATTAAAATTAATAGGATTTTTCAAAGGGCTGCTCTAGGCTTTCAAGCAGTAGTTTCAATCAGCACTGAAGAAACCTTAGTGTTGTGACCAAGGGAAGGTACCTTGCTCCCAGAGGAGTCCAGGATTGCTTAGATGGAGGTGTAGAACTTCTTTGTGTCTGCTTACTTCTCTTACCAATGCTGACACATGACTGTAGACGTGCAGAGTAAGTGAGGAAGTCAGTTATTCGTTTCTTCTTCTTCTTCTCCTTGATCTCATGTATCCTATTGCTTTCTTCAGGAATTGTGGCCAATGAAAGCTGATGTATGAAATAACACGTGTGTGTTGGAGAGTTGGGAGTTTGCTTTGGTAGCTTTCACGCATGGTGTGTGGTATGAAGCACAGCTTGGAAAACCCAAAGCTTGCCAAACACTGAACGCTAAACCCTCACAACACATGCCCTGTAGAAAGGCTATCAGAAACGGTATCTTCTATAAAAATTCTTGGCAGATTTTGTATTCCACTTACCAGCAGCAGTGGCAACTCAATTCTTTCTATACCTCCTGTGCACCTGCCAGCTTCAAGATCATCCTACAGCTGCTATTTCCCAGGCGATAGGACATGACTGCCAGTGTGAGCTGGTTTAACTTTGGACTAGAGCGTTGCGTCACACACAAAAATCCAGTCTGATTCTGCACAAAAACTCCATCAAGGAAGTTGGAAAGCTTGTTTTAAATGCTTTTAAGCTTTAGGGGAAGAGGCTATGCAAGCAGTAGGATTGGGGCTCTGCAAGTCAATGTGCGTGGGGTTTTGTGTTGGATTTTTTAATTATTAACAGGAAAAACTCAGTCTGTGTGTGAGGTGGGTTATTTTTTATTATTAGCTGGAGCACAGATGAGTCAGTCATACAAAGCATGCAAAGCCCTGCTTATCGTGCTTCTCTGTTCCTCTGGTGGAATGCTGAGCTCACTAATATTCAGACAATTCAGTTGACCATCATGAGGATTCAGAAGCGCCCTGGATTTGGACTGCTCTCTGTTCCACTCTGAATGCACTACTGCACTCACAGTAGTGTAACTGTAGCACTTTTAAGAGCAAAAATTGTGTCTTTAAAGACTGCAGGAATAATTACTTTATACAGGAAAGAGATTTTCTTTTTCCCTGCAATGATGGAAATAGTTTCTTAAAAATTATGTTTCTAGGTGAAACTAGATGTTGGATATCATGCTAATAGGCTACTGGAGCTTCCTAATGCTACTGCCTTAATTAAAAAAAAAAAAAGTTTGAAAACAAAAAATTCATTTCCTTTTGTCTGTAAAATCAATTTCCTTTTTTGTATTTGCTCAACTCAAACCAGATGTGTTTTCATAACACACATGTTTTGGTATTGTGTTTGGTGCATATGTAATGTGCTGCTGGTGCTTGCCCAGTCATGTTCTGTACCTGCGTGTGCAATCTGGCAGGACATGTTTCTTCTCAAGATGGTATGTGGCAAAGCAGAGGAGCTAAAGACCACCTGAGAATGTGTATAGCTGTCCTAGGCAGAAGCAGGCGATACTTTTGTTAGGGTTCATTTTTACATGTAAGCAATGGATATCGCAAAGCCGTTACATACTGATGGTTGTGTACTGGAAATACGTCAGGAGGTCTAACTGGCCCGAGGATGTTTGTCCTCAAAATGCTCGGTCTGTTAAAATCCCTTCGAATACTTTCAGAACAGCTGTTGATACCATAAGCAAAGCCTGACCACTTGCCTACAGTTAGTAAATGTGATTAGTTTGATTTCTCTGAGACTTGAAGGTCTTTTATATTATCTTTGCTGAAATCATAAGGAAGTCAAGATCCTAATTGAGATCTGTAAGTGCAATGGTATATGCAAATGACTAGCAAAATTAAAGAAAATTGGAGCTACTGATACAGGGACTTAGCTGCTTATCCCAGGGAGAACAAAAAAAATTGACAAATACCTAGTGAAGAAGCATAAGAAAAACAAGTACCAAATTTTCAGAAAAAAATAGTGAATATTATACACAAAGGCTGAAATTTTTCCAGCAGGGCAATACCTTGTATGAAACTGTCAAGTGTACAGCTTCTGTAGAGTAATATATCCTAGTAAGATGAGGGGGGACACACAACATGACACACCAAACACTCAGTTAAACAGTAAATTATGAAACCATTGAACTCCAGTGCTACTGATGAACAATACGGGGTTTTTTTCCTCCCTCCAACAGAATTAAGAAAAAACACCTAACCAACCCCACTTCTGTGAATGTAAGAGAAAACTAAAAAAAAACCCCAACATTCCCACTTTTGGCAGATTTTAAATTTTATGAGACAGGATGAATCATCGTTTGAGTGAGACCAATTTGGCTGGAAAGCTGGAAGTTGATGTTTTGTTAAAGATGTCGCAGAGCTGAAGTCGTATTGTGTAATATCGATAACAAAGCAGCTGGGCATTCAGTGGAAAACACAACATGAACAGCACTTAAGTATCAAGGAGTCGCACAGAGCAGACTGTCTTGTTCAGGTAAAGCTTGCAGAAATTCTAAGATAGGCAAAAGGGGTCGTAATTATCACTGCACAAGGAAATATCGGGACTTCAGAATTTCAGACTGATCATTCAGAAAACACGGAAACAGTTAAGACACTGTAACTCTTCTACAACTGGTTTGAAAATAATGAAAAAGCTTAAATTTTTCATTGTTTGAACAGAAGTTAGAAGTTATTTCAATTACATCTATTAATTGCTTTAGAGTTTTGCAAAGAGCTTATTAACAATTTTGCGGTAATTGAACTGATAGAGAAGTAAAATGCGTCTTCCAAGGATTACAGAAAATGAGTCATCGTTGTACCAGGCATAGATTAAAATCTCTTTTATGAAACTGGGTGTTACCGCAGGATTTTATGTGGAACAACTGCAGGGGATTAAGCTGGACTGAAAAAATATGAAATGCATGCAGATTTTTATTTAAAAAAAAAAGCATCAAAAGACACTAAGCTAGCTTGCTGTAGTTAAAATAAGACCAGAAAATGATGCCAAAATGATCTTCGTGGAGCATCCTGAATTTTTGCTGGAGATAAGACACAGATAACAACCTGGTGCAAGCTGCCGTGCCTTGCCATGACCATCCGCTCCTGCCGGCTTTCTCTTGGTGAAAAGAGCCCTTCAGCTGTGGCACCACGAAGGTGGCTCCTACAAAACTTTTGCCGTGGGTGCTCAAGGAACAGCTGTGAAAGGCACTTGAACGTCCCAGCTGGAGTTTTCTGCAGTAACCAAGAACAATTACTCATATGTACAGACACAGGTTTTCAAAAATTCCGTGCCTGTCCCAACAAGGCCCTTTGTGTTTTAGGGAGTGACAGCTACTCTGCAGAAACCTCGATGGACACATTGGGAGGAATTTGTACTTTGTTCAGTAAATGGCTTTTCTGGTAGCCATAAAGAATACTTCAGACCAGAGACAAAATGTTGAGTACAAGCGGTGTAAGTGTCAATGGTTGTTTTCAAGGCAGGTATTCCTGTAGGTGACAAATAAATGGACTTCTCATTCAAAATGAAAAGAGTTTTTAAAATAAAGCAGGAAAGTTCATGTTGCTCTCTCTACTTGTTTAGTGCAAAAGAAGCTAACACACTTAAACATCACAAGAAATAAACAAAAATTAGCAAGATGAAGTACTACAAGCCAGAGAGGAAGTGTTTTGGTAACATAAACTGAATGTTTGATCTGACAAACTCAAAACCAGCAGCTTGTTACTATAGAAAATATGTTGCATTACATAAACTTGTGCTAGCTGTAAAACATCTAGTATTCTGAATTCCAAATGTACTATTTTTATTGCATAGCTGTTCCATATAAAGACAAAGGTAGCAATGCAAGATTTTTTTTCCCCTTTCGTTAGTATTCTGCACAATAAAGTCAAATAGTCGATATTCAGAATATGGTGTGTTTAAGTAGCTGCAGGTTGATATTTGGGAAAAGGCATGGGATGCTAGCCCTACAAAACTCCTCTTTACTGCATTTATTGAACTTCTGATCAAACTGTTTGGTTAGCTGCATTTAATATACATGTAGTTCAGTATAGGACACAATTTGTAACAACAAAGTCCCGGCAACCCTTGTCCTGACAGGCAGTTAAGGTGTGTGGAGACCTCCAACAGGAAGGTTAGAACAACATGGTAAGAAAGAATTTACTCGAGTTAAATTTAACATGGAACTGCTGGATGATGTCTTCAGTCTCCCTGCAGAGTTTATCTCTATATAGACATATTACCTGTTACAGACTTTTTATACAGATAGATTGCTTTATCCTCAAGCACTATTGAAAAATGGCGAGGTGGCAGTTGTGCTATGCTGGAAATGCAGCCTGACCCTTCAGCATGAGGTTAGGATATTTCTCCATTAAAACTGTGATGTCTTTGCAAGGTTATGTGGAGTGTGTGTGTAATGCTCGATGGCGTTCATCAGACTTGGTTTCTTTCCATGGAAACTTTACCATTAGTTTCTTAAACATAATTAATAGTTTGACAGAAATCAGAAAATAAAAAGGGGGTATCTGTAAGAGAATAGACATGTTAGAGAATATTTACCTTTGTCTAAAGACAAGAAAATAGTTTATAGGTTTCTGCCCCAGACTTTTTCTGGAGTTCCACTTGCAAACTTTTTATTTCCACAGTAACATTTTATCATTTGGTAGATCCTGTTGGTTTTAGTTACTTCAAACATGTATGCTAGGAGGGTGCTTCATGCTTTGTGAGCCTTGACTGCTCACCCTCATTTATGCTGGTGAATGGAAAGACAAGACAATTATCTCTCTAATTTGATTCATAGAAACTGTGAGTGAAGTCTTGGATGTTGCAGCTTCTTCTGCCCATGAGGAAAACTTAGACACTGTCAAGGAAGGAGTAGCCTCAGCAGCTCAAGAGATTTCTGACACATCCTCAAGGAGCCAGGACGCTGATGCTGAGGAGTCGGGGGAAACTTCAGAAGGTGCAGGAGTACAGCTGGGTCTGAAATGTTTTGTCTTATGGCTGTTTGTACTAAGCTAGCTGCGAGAGCACGCCCAACGCAAGTCACGCGATGCGGCTGCTAGCGATGACTGTGTGTGGCATCGTTGTGTTAGCAGAAAAACTAACTTCAAAATTATATGCCATGCAGCAGAAATAGGTATTGCTAAGTTGGATTGTGGGGGTGTTTTGACCTCAGTGCTCTGCTGAGTGGTTAGATGTGAAGTTCATTAAGAACAAGAAATTCTTTCTTACGCTGCATGTGATGTAACACACTTTTTTAATCATCTGACATAATTTGAAAGAATTTTCTTAAATTACATTACTGTAAAGAAAAATATAGAGCATTTGATGTTTCTAAACCTTCGAATATTTTAATGAAGCTATAAAAAATCTTATATTGCTACTGAAGTTGAATGATATCATGGAATACAAAGAAGAATGTGTGTTAAAGCCATCATTGTGGAGATTTTCAAAGGAGTTTAGAAGTTTAGCCTGTAAACTCTTTCACATTTAGAATTAACAAGCAAAAAATAAAAATGTCTGTATATGTACTAAGACTTTATAAATTGTATCCCTTTAGTCGAAAGGATCTTTTGGACTAATGCAAACAGCTGAGTTGACTGTTTGTCATCAAGTAAGTAGTTTCCAATGTTTCTCACTGGTGTTTTGTCTCCGTTTTCAGTTTCTGTGGAGGAGAAGACATCTGAAGAAGTTGATAAGGAACCTTAAAGGTACACAGTACAGTTGCAGCATTCGGTTTCCCACTCTTCACCTTTCTTTTTTTCTCAGATAGTGGCAATTGCAGCATGCGGTAAGTCTGCACATGTGCTCTGATGCTGAATTTGTGTTTCTGCTCCCAACAAGTACTTTGCAAAAACTAACTTAACTGAAATCTTTCTTACTGTTTGGGAACCGTTGCTGGCATCTTTTAGAGGTGAAGGAGCTAGAGGTGAGCGAGCTAGGTTGTCAAGCTAGGTATTTATTTATAGCTTTATCCTAGTTCCATGCAAACTGGGTAAAGACCTAAGAGTTCCAGCTTTCTTCTAGGCAAAAATGTGTTACTTGGACATTGGTTTAAATTACATAGATACTGGACTTCTGGATTATTGCCCTATACAAGTGACCTCTTCTCCTGTTACCCTCAGTGTAAACATGGTGAAATTGTAACTAACTTTCTGGACTATTTTTTTTTCCAAGACATTTTTTCACCATTAGTCTCTCTGCACTTTTTGTTCATGTTAATGAAAAATATGGAATATAATGGTCTTACTATTTTGCTCGGATCTTACTCAGTTGGCTTTATTACTTTATAGAATAAAATACTTTGTCCACAATCTTTTTTACTATTTTGCTCTAACCCTGTGACTCCCCTTTCCAAAACAGACTGTAGGATGGTGATAGAAACCTGAACAAACAAAAAGTTTGGCTGAAATATGAATGGGAATCTTACTAGAGAAGTATTAACTAGGACAGAAAAAAATAGAAGTTCAGCAAATAAACCTCCGTGGTCATGCATCCTCAAAATTATTTTTGCTGCTAGTTAACAATTCATACACTAATTCTTGAAGCACCAGTACAAGAGAAGGAAACAGAGCAAAGAAAGTTATTTTTCATTCCATTCTCAAAATGTGTGTTCTAAATACACTTACATGACCTTATCATTACATTCCGAGTCCTTTGCAAATGCATATTTGCTTATTCCATTATCCACTGCAATATAAAGTAAGGTAATGACTCTTATCTTGTTGTGATAAAGGGTAAATATTGTTCTTAGACTGTATGGTCTTTTCCCATGTTGTTTTAGAATTCAACACTAAGACAAACATTAAAGCAAAACCAACCCCACAATTATAATTTACCAAATGTTAGTGTAAGATACCTTCCTCTATGAAATAAAATTGTAGTGTTTTTTACACGAAAACCCCACAGATTTAACAAATGTGGGTGAGACATGCAGAAAAGCTGCAAGTGTGTGCCCCTCAAAGCTGTTATTTTCGCTCAGAGTGAAAGCTAAGGGCACCTCAGGATACCACGTCAGAAAAATAAGCTACAAAGACATTCTGGCCCCTCTGGGACATAAATGCAGTGATATAGAGAAAACTATAATAGAGTTAGGAGTCTGTATTTTTCCCTGTAAACACCTTGCGACCCTAAACACTGTTGCATTGCTATTCCAGATTTTGATGTAGACAACAAATACCCACTATATCCAATTCAGTTAATGAAGGCAGAGATGGTAACTTAAAGGGGTGGGAGTGGGAAGGCACAAGCTGTAGGAAGCACCTTTGATGGAACAAATTGGAAGTAAGTGAAAAATAGATGAATCTGTTACTGGAATACACATGCACTGACTTCTACTTAAACTGCTTGAGCTCTTTTTGAGGAAAAAAAAAGTCTTTTTATGAATATAGCATAGCAAAGTTACAAAAAGTGTCTCTTGCTACATTCCAATTCAATCTTGTTGGGGTAAAATAAATAAATAAATGTATATAGAACATTTTACTACTTAGTGCTAGAAGATCGCTGCTGGACTGAAAGCCAGGCTGACTTCTTCCAATTTACTAATCAAGGACTGCAATGCATTCCCAGTTAGGAAAGGGCTAATTTTTATTTTTTAATTGTTTTTTTACTGTATGTTTTGATTGTAAACACCTTAGGATACAGGCCTTAACGTTCAGTTTGCATTAAAACAAATCATGTTTTTTGGAGAACTAAAACAAAAAAAATCCAAAGAATGCTAATGTGAGAATCTCAGTTTATGTAGTTCACCTTCTTAAAAAAATCCCTAATTATTTGGCGAAGGGATAGAAGTAGTAGTAATAGATGAAATCCTTAAGTGAAGCCTTGAATTGATGCTGAGAGCATGCCCAAGAAGGAATATACTGTTGTTCTTCTTTCTTTGCAGAGTACAGCAGTTCAAGTGTGTGTGGCTGCTGCCCCCAAATTCACACTGCTATGAAGCTACTTACATCAGTAATCTCAGCAAACACAATTGGTTTACCTCACGCTTAAAGTTAAGCAAGTAACTATTTGTAGAAGTAAGGCTTAGTGGAATGTGCCCAGCACGCAGGGGGATTCATTTATACCTGAGCAACAGGGCTGAAGATGAGGGATTCCTTGAAACTGGGCTTTGGTGGTGCTCGTGGAGTGAGTTTTCACGAGCCATCAGATAAGCATGATTTACACGGCAGTAATGTTTATATGCTGGAATACACTTCACTGATAACCTGCAGTCCAATTTACAGTGTGCTTTGAATGTTTGCAAAGAAAAAGACCTGATGAATAGGTCTGTTGCTAAACATAATTTATTGTTCCTTCCTCTAAACAGATTCTTTTTTCTTTTTCCCAGTAAGCAGTGCTGAAGCCTTTGAAAAGTTTAATGGAACTATTTGTGGCAGTCAACCAGCTGATTCCTGTGTGAAACCTCATACTCTTCCTCGGAGACATAAAAGAAATTGTGCAGTTTGTCATACTACATGCTGCTCACTAGGACCAGTATTCAATGCTGCAACAGACAACCTAATACTATTTGAATTGGTTAGAGATACGCTTTTGTGATTAACACCTTGGCTTTAGAAACTAGCATCCAGTAATAGCTGTCAAAGCACCACCCACTCAGCATGTAATAAACACCCGTGCTAAGAGAAGCAGTAGGCTTAACTGAAACCATGTCAGGTGAACTCGTTCTAGGTCTTTGTTGTCTCATTTTGTACATTGGTTTCCTACTTTTGGTCCAAACTGTGGTGCATAATTATACCACTGTAACATTCCATGCTAAAATATCAGTAAACAGTTTTAACTAAGCTAAAATCTTATAAAACTTACTTGTTAGTATTTCTAAATTGGGTCATGGGGAAAATAACGAATTTGTTTGCTCTCATTTTTGGAATTGCAATTGTAAATGTAGGACCTGTGGATGTAAAAGATCTAATCTTTCCCCTGCATAAACATTTCAGATGCTGCTCTTTCTTGCACAGTAATATTCAGGAGTAAACACTTTTAAGGCCCCTGCTTTGAAAACCAAGCCCCTTTGCAAGTAGTAGCAATAGATGCTTTATAGCATGAAAATCAAACGATCACTTGAAGTTATCATCATGGATCGAAGTGGTGGCTCCCACCCTGGGGGTGCTGAGCTCCGTTCCTACCAAACCTTATTCAGCTTGCTGTAGTCCTCCGGTGTTGCTCAGTCTTAGCAGTGGCAGGCAGCGCTGGCGTAACAACGCGGAGGTTTGAGAGAACACTATTGTACAAATCATGAGCAATTTTGGCTATGGTAAAGCTTTCTCTCTGAGCACCTGAAGATGGCCAGCAAAATCCCCATTGGAAGGCTATGCCCCGGGTGTTGAAATGGATAGAGATTCTTAGGGACTAATAAAGGACTGAGGAGCTAAATAATCTTGTCTTATTAGTGTTATCTGAATAATGAAAAAATCTATAATGAATAATGGGTCCGTATGACACTGTTCTCCTAACCCTCTACTGTGCTATGCACACGAGTGTGAGAATTTTTTTCCTGAAAGCCATTACAGCCATCCCAGAATGGCACTATTCTAAACAAAGGACAAAAAGGTATATTATACACAATTTATATAGAAGGTGTGAATTGTAAAGTGTATCTTACTGCTTGCTCTTTGAGCACAACTTTGGAAAAATGTTGAAAGGGAAATTACAGTGTTATGACATTCTTACCCATGGCACAAAGCAGCCTTTGCTTCTTCCTCCATTGTGAAGCAAATTATAATAGTGTTCCAACAAAAATACAGCCTATATTGCCCTTGTACCTGCTTTGGAATAACTGGAATAATGCAGAGGCAAAATCAGGCTCCTGAGCTTCAAGGAGCCATACCAAAGCCTTCTGCTTAAAGGATAAAGCCACTGTGATTAAAAGCAATTTTTTGTAGACAGAGCTACTCGAATAAAAGTCTTAGATTGATACTTTGTTGGATGAGAGTCTATCTTTATTTATCTGGTAGATTAAACATCCTATAATGGATGCGTACTCTTAAATGTTCCATTTCCTCATTTTCACTAATTCCTAGTGAAACAAGCTGTTGCTGCAGCTCCAGTAGGGCTTCTGAAATTGTGGGCTTTGCTGAATGTCCCTTTAAGTCTGGAACTGCTCTGATACATATATTAGTCTTTAGAAATATGTGCCTGAACAATTGAAACACAACCTATGGGGTGCTTTTCCAAGCTTCTTATCCCTCTGATTTCAAAAAAGATGAGAGTCCCGGGATAGCCCGTACATATGATTCATGTCAGAGATTCACTTTTTAAATTATTTTTTAAAAAAGACACTACTCTTGAAAGCCAAAGGAACTAGGAATATACTACAAACGTTAGCTGTGATGACCTGTAGTACAGCATGGACTGCTTCAGCATTTGATTATTCTATATTAACAATGCCCATATTTTCCAGTTTGCAGAGGGCTGCTCTTCAAAATAAATAGCCAATAACCACATGCAGAATGCCTTGTTGCTTAATCAGAAATTCTTTGTCTTTGGTTTAGGTGGTCCATGGCTGTCATTCATCACTCATACTAGACTCATAGTGAGTCTAATTACCACATAGATTCTTATTTTTCTGCCTCTCACCTCCAGAAAAGTGGATTTTTGAGTTGCTACACAAAGGCTGTGATGAACCGTAAAATATGGTGAAAGAATATTGGCTCATTAAGGAGAACAAGACTAAAGATGGGGGGGAAAAGGTTTGTCTTCAACAATACACT